CAACGCATGCAATTGCGTATGTCTATGGGCAACGGTCACTTCGCTATTTCAGCGATTACAGTTGGTCGCTCGCTCGTTTGCCACCTTTTGATATAAAAAAAATGAGGATGTATGTATGAAGGTCACCAAAACAGCTTTAAGTCATAGATGTAGAACATAACCTGGAAGAATACAAGCTACTAAGTATTTTTAATTCCGCGCAGACGAAGTCATAGGCGACAGCTAGTTATATAAATGCAAATGTTTGGATGTTTGTTAGAAAGTATCTCCAGAACAGCTGCACCTCGCTAAACGTCATAGATGTAGAAAACATAGACTACTATTTTTTTTTTTTAATTCCGTACAAACGGAATCAAGGGCGAACGCTTGTTTTAAGTTCAGTGCCTGGATGACCGGACCGAATTATATTTAAGTACGAATTACTAATAAAATGATGAAATATGAATAATATTTTTCGATCTTACCGATAGAAAAAGTTAAGTTTATGTTTAAGTTGATTATCTATAAAACACGAATAAAATGACATTTTCTAAAAATGATTCCTAGCTAGATCGATTTATCGCCCCCGAAACCCCCTTTATACTAAATTTTATGAAAATCGTTGGAGCCGATTCCGAGATTCCAAATATATATATATATATATATACAAGAATTGCTCATTTAAAGATATAAGATATATAGAATAGGGTATTCAATTGAAATCTACAATCGACACTTAAGCGTTTAGTAACGTAAACATGACACCTAGGCAGTAGTTTCCCACCCGTATGTACGCGTGATTCATAGGAAGTCGCAATTTAGGAGCCTTGGCAATGACACTGACTTTAAACTGATCTAGAACAGCCGTGGGGATGGGATAGTTTTATTGAACCAATAACCACGACTACGTCTGTGCGAAATGAAAAAAAAAAACAAAGTAAGTAGCCACGAAGCGCCAATAACCTAATATGAGTACCTTCAAATAACGTGGTCATGAGTTCGAATCCATACATTCGACTATTATCGTAAACCATATCCTATATCAAGCATATATGAGCGTCGGTGGCTTAGGGGTCAAGCACTTGACTTGCAATCTGCAGGTCCTGGGTTCGAATCCCGCCGTGTACCAATGTGTTTTTCTATTTCCGATTTACATATGTACATTTATCCGACGTTCTTACGGTGAAAGAAAACATCGTGATGCAACCTGCACGTATCTGAGAAGAAATTCAATGATAAGTGTGAAGTCAACCAACCCGCACTTGGCCAGCGTGGTTGACTATGGCCTAATCCCCCTTAACGCAAGGTAGGCTCCGAGCCCCTCGGTGGGGACGTATAGTGAGCAGATGATGATATCAAGCATAGAGCAAGAAATATTAGTCAACTGGTTGTCGTCCGACACCACCTAACAAGTTCAGTGTAATACTTCATTAAAAACCCTAAAAACTCAGTTAACTACACCCTTATAGCACTCAGAGGAAAATTACGAATTAAACGGCAACACACACATCAAAATCAGTTCATTTTACATACATACAAACGTATATATATATATAAAAATAAATCCATACACATGAAAAACATTACCATCTTTATCATTCAAGTATAAATTACCATCCTAATTCGGTCAGGTAAACAATACTACACTAATAATCTTAAATTAACAAGTACAAATAACCATAGACAATTGTATCATAAAGTCTTTGATAACTCTATGGTACTTTAATCCTTAATAACCATAAAGATTCATTATCTTATTTACCTTTTAATATGTAAATACTAGTTTTTTCCTGCGATTACATCCACTTATAATTAAAAAAAAAAATTATCTCTTAAGACTATGTTCTACATCTATGCCAAATATCAGCCATATCTCCTTAGCTGTTCAAGAGATATAAGAAACATCTATCCATCCATCCCAACATTCGCATTTATAATACTAGTAAGGTATAAGCAGAGTGTTGGTGGCTCAGGGGATTCAGCACTTGACTTGCAAACTGCAGGTCCTGGGTTCGAATCCCGCCATGTACCAATGCGATTTTTGATTTACATATGTACATTTATCCGACGTTATTACGGCGAAAGAAAACATCGCGATGCAACCTGCACATATCTGAGAAGAAATTCAAAGATATGTGTGAAGTCAACCCGCACTTGGCCAGCGTGGTTGACTATGGCCTAGTCACCCTTAACTTAGGGTAGGCTCCAAGCCCCTCAGTGGGGATGTATAGTGAGCTGATGATGATGAAGATATAAGAGTCTTAACAAGCCACAATTATAAGATAACTGGTGCTTGCTTAGGTGGTTTTCCAGACTATGTTCTACATCTATGCCAAATTTCAGTAAGATCCATGCAGTCGGAGATACCTTGAAACAACTGTCCGTCCATCTAAACATTCGCATTTATAATATTAGTAAGAAATAAGATTTATTCATAATTACAATTACAAATAAAATAAGAATAAATATATTCAACAATTGTTAAAAGTAGGTTATGCATAATAAGCTAAATCTTTGTTGACAACACTTTTATTGTAAACTTGCAGTCGCCCGTGACTTCATCAGGGCAAAAAATATCATTAGGAATCAGTAGTACAGTACAGTAAATAAAGTACTTTCAAGTCACAGACATTGGCCCAATCCGATGAGGGAGAGCCATAAACAAGAAACAGAACAGTACTTTCAAGTCAAAATCCTGTGAAAATTTCAGAGATTATTCCGAAGGACTTTAAGAACAGACAGACGTACTCACAAAAATCTTAAAAGCTGTAATTTTATTTAAGCAAATACTTCATGTTTACAAAATATAATTTTTTTTTATTATATAGACATCCCAATTTTATTAATGGTATGAATATACTGTCTTATTCTGTACGCACGGAATCAAAAAACTTAATAAGTAGGCTATGTGTTCTTCCAGACTATGTTCTACATCTATACCAAACTTCATCAAGATCCATGTAGTTATTATGTGGAGATATCTTATTACAAACATTCATACATCCATAAGAACTGTTTAATATTATAATTATAAAAATTGTTAGTTTACAATAAAATCAGTACCTATAAGTTTTCTATTGTTCAAAGGAATTTTTAAAATTTAATAAGACGTTTTTTTTTTATTCAATGCAAAATACATAATGAGAATTTGTAAATCATTTTATAGCCAAATATCTTTATATATATAATTCATCTGTGAGTGTGTATGTCACTGAACTTCTCTCAAACGACTGGAGCGATTTTGATGAAATTTTTTGTGTGTGTTCAAGGGATCTGGGAATGGTTTAGATTCACAATTTTCATCAAATATTAACTTCATATTAATTTATTCAGATTAAAGACGTGTAGACAGGACAACGTCTGTCGGGTCCGCTTGTATACATATAAAATAGAAATCGAAATATAAAGAGCATAAAATTACATTTCCTTTATCAATGTAATTCAATTGATATTTTACGGTTTGAATAAAGTATTAAGAAAACTTTATATCTACATAACACTATTATTTCTTATCAATTCAAATTGATATCTTAGAATTACGATAATTTAGATAAAGATGTTTAACAAATATAATACAAGAAAGTTTGGATGGATTGATGTTTGACAGCACGAAACTTTAGAATTATCACTGTCTGGCACAGTCCATTTTTTTTTTAAATTCCGACCGAGCGAAATTCGGGCAAAGGCTACTAATATTTTTCTAAGCTGTGGTGTAAAAATATTAAATATTTACTATCTTTGACATGTTATTAAAATAGATTAATGACTTACCAGCGAAAAAGAAGAAGAAATGCGCCTTAATAGGCAATAGCCTTTTGTCTATTTTGAAATTCATTATGCTGGTGGAAAATATTTTATTTTACTCTAAACACTTCATCATATGAACACAACGCCTAGTTTTATTTCGTTAGGGTCATTAGCCTTATTACGAACTTGACTCGACGGCTTTCTATTCTCGTATCGCGTATAATCGTAATCAGCTGAACGTTAAATACCTAATGTTATTGTTTATTTACACGATTCGATACGATCAATGTCAACGTTCAACCACAAACAGAAATATCAATATCAAAACGTTAAATGTCAAAATGTTGACATAGCCATGTATTGTCTTTGGTTTGAAATTTATGTTCCTAATAACGCAAAACTTTGAAACTTTTCGAAATTTGAAAATGTTTAATTGGTTTTATTTATAAGAAAATGTATAGAATAACATATTTTTTATTAATTTCTTATGGTCGATTTCAATTACAATTAAAATACAATCTGGTGGCTTTTTAAAAAATTTAACTTTAAAAAAAAACATTGTTCAATAGCACAAATTGGCGCCAAATTATAAATTGTATCCCCAATCATTCGCAATAAGGTATACTAGCAATGAAATCAGTAAATGTAAGAAAATAAGCTTAGCCGTTAACTCTATAATTTTAATCCGATTCACATTAATTTTGAAAAATAAAATAGCCGTCTTTTGTTTTTAAAAATCAAATCGGGAATCATCACATTACATCCTCCTTCCATTGTTTTATAATAATTTAAAAGTACAACAATGGAGGAGGAAGAGGATTTTGTTGGTTGCATAAGTTGCATGAATAACAAAGATTTATGCGACCTATTTGCTATTTACGCCGATAATGAAGAAACCTACGCACAAATGTTAAAAAGTTGTTACAACATTAAGGTTATGTTTACAATTTGTACTTCGAAATGTTTATTATAATTCGTATATGATTTAAATTACATTTTTAGTTTATAAATTGTGTCAGTGTGTGATAAAAATGTTGTATAATTGTAGATATCTACGGAATATAAGTTTATATGTTCTGATTGTGTTGAAAAATTGGAAAAAGCTTCGGCGTTTAAAAATCAAACTAGTAAAAATCTTGCAATGCTGCAAAGTATCAAAGGTAAATATCGTTATTTAGATATCTATATAACGAGAATAAAGCCATTTTGAAAAGGATATTGCATAGAAAAACAGCCGATATTTAACATAAAAATGTTTCTTACTTTATGTACATATATTAATAGTTTGCATGTTCATAAATATTATTGTACATTTTAAGTTTTAAATATATTTAATTTGAATTCAAATGAAATATTGCATTTTTGATAAAACTAGTGATGTAACCGTTTAACGTTATTTTTCACCGGTTATTTAACCATAACTGTTTTAAATCAGTATTTATACCGGAATATTTAATTGCCCTAGATGAGGAGTATTTGGACGAATCGATCTTGGAAGAAGGAGAGGGCCTAACCGTAGATTATAGAGGAAATAAAACAAGCCATTTAACTTCTACTGAAGATGTCGATGGTGAGACAGATTTCTTTACCTAAACGCAAAAACTAGTAGTTGTCCCCTACCCTTCTCTTTATTGAGTAAAGGATCCCTTACTCTGTATTTCCGCATCTGCTTCATAAATCCATATTGTTGCTGTTTCATGAATGTTTTTTTCAATTCTTGCAACACAAAAGACCATTTTAATATAGTCCCCTAATTTTATAAGAAAAGGATAGAAATGGTAAGTTGCTATGATAGAGGACGGGAGCACTAGAATTTGAAATATTGTCATCCTGTGCATCCCTTCTTTCATCGATTTAAGATAGGCAACGCATCTACAATTGCTTATGTCTATTGGCAGCAGTCGCTTCGCTATTTCTGTTAAATTTGCCGGCCGCTTGCTCGTTTGTCACCTTGCAAGATAAAAAAATAGTTGTCTATGTGCAGCAATCATGTCTCAGGCTCACGCTTAATTTTTTTTATAATACTCAAGATATAAACGAAGAACACGAGATCCAAGCATTAGATGAGACGACGTGTATCTACTGCAATGTTCAATTGCCCACTGCGGAGGAGATAGACCAACATGTTCGTATGGTGCATGGTCTCGAGCCTCGTACTGGTCAACGTGTTCGCGAGTGCTCGCTGTGCGGAGCCTCACTTAACGATCTTGCTGATCACATAAACAGGTACAACGCTTAACCATAGATAAAGGTTAAAGTCATCAGCTCACTATACATCCCCACTGAGGGTCTCGGTGCCTACCGTGAGTTAAGGGTGATTAGGCCATAGTCAACCACGGTGGCCAAGTGCGGGTTGACTTCATATCATTGAATTTCTTCTCAGATATGTGCATCACGATGTTTCATCGTAAAAACGTCGGATAAATGTACATATGTAAATTGGAAATGTAAAAACACTGACTGGGTCCCGGGATCTCCAATGGAACCCACTGCCTTGAGCTTCTGTACGACTCTAGGAAAATACTTTCTAGTGGCTTTACAGAGATTCGGCAAAATGGGACCACGCATGCCGTGTTCCCGGGATTGCTTTCATTAGAGACCAGGAACCCTACCTTACCGTCACTCATGGCTCCCTTATTAACGTGACTGCGTGAAAGTCACAGAAAGTGCCTTCGTGCCAGTGCTAGTGGTTTAGTGGAAATAATACTTAATGTTTTCTATCTTGTAGATGCCATAGCGCTACTTCTGAAAGTGAGAGTAGACAGTACGCGTGTCATTTCTGTGACAACGTCTATAATAGTAAGAAGGCTTGCTTCACACATCTAAGGATGAAACATGGATGTAAGTTAAAAACTCCTTACAACAGGATAATGTATGAATAATTTGTCTAGAATCTAGATAGATTAATTTGACAATTCACTAGAGATGGGTTGAGTAACATCGGTTTTGAAAATTTACGGTTTTCTTCAATTAATATTTTATATGTTATGCGGTCCGACACTACGACAACCGTCTATTAAGTAAAATATTAATCGTCATACAAAATTAACTTGATTATTTATAGGTGGTGTCAAATTAATGTATTTTAGACACACTATAATTATGTCTTTTAGTGAAACTATGCAATGATCATACTCCGAAGTATTCACCAACTGATCGTAAGAAATGTCACATTTGTCAGCGAGATTTCAGTCAGAAGCAAATTCTCAACAACCATCTATGGAAAGCTCACGGATATGAGGTTTTATACTTTCAGACATTATTAGTTAGAATCCTTTGACGCGAATGACTTTCGTTACCAAGTCAAGTGTCAGAATGATTAGTGAGGGGACATAAACGTTGACGTTTTAGTAAGGCTAGTGCTGCGCCAGTACCCCGACTTAGTGTCAGATTTAATACCTTGTTTTAATACTGTTAACCATAGACAAATTACATATAAATACTTGTAAATTGAAAAATATTTCTGGTAAAGCACACTTACCAGACTATACCAGGATGAAAATGTTTTTTGCTCATATATAACTATGCATCTGAGTTTGTAAGTTTTTTAATACTATTGTGGCCTCCTGAAGCCTAAAAAACTGAACTAATTTCGATTTGACTGCTTCCCCTAAGTGTCATAGAACTACATTGCGTTTTCTAAATAAAAAATGGAGTTATTCTTACATATGTTTTGAAGACGTAAACTTAGGGTTGAAAAGTCTAAAGTTCGTTCTTTAAACCAAATGGCAGGTTGAGAAACGAAAGGCATTCTTTTGTCCGTTGTGTAATGAACGAGTGAGTTATGGCACCAACTTTAGTGCTCATTTGCTGCATCGTCATCAAGTTCGTGAGCAAGTTGAGCAGTTGGAGTTTGGAACTATGGATGGTGAGAAAACACATATCATTCAATTTTTAAGTCTGTTCGCAAGACTGTGTTTGTGTCGGTTAATCTCCAAAATCACTTCACGAATTTTTTAGGCTATTTTTTAAATTTCTACTCCGACGAAGTCACGATATTTATAAATCTACGTAAAATTGCGCATTATACCAGAAATCGTATTAACGGGGTTCTACTGTACATGCTTCTTAAGTAGGGCATACTTTGTTTGGGTCTATAGTATACATACTATTATTCATGTAGCATAGACTAATTGTTCCTTTTTCTGGTCTTTTATTAACATACCTTTGATCCGACTCGAAGGACTTGTTCTAGAGGGGTTTGATTACATATGTTGCATACGTTTTATAAGTGTTAGACATATTTAAAAGTATATGTTTCAGACTTCATGCTTTTTAAAAGCGCAATACAGGAAGAGACAAAGTTCAGGTTCCGGAAGACGACAGCCAGCAAGCAGACGATTGAAGGTGTCCGGTCTCATTATATGTGCAGTCAGTCTGGTATCTACGTGTATCAAGTAAATTGACATTGTATTTTAGAAAAGACCCTAATTATTACTATTATTTTTTATAGTTAGTACATTTTGTTTCGTATTTTCAGCTAAAGAGTCAGTCTGACATTTTTTCCAACAAGGGACACAAATATTTTTGCGTCCCGGAGACCTAATTTAGTCCTCTTTCCCTTCCCACTTTTTTTCTTATAAAGGATGAGAAGTGGAAATGGACTTTCCGGATGAGAGGATGCATGGGAAGGGAAAATATTTTCTTTCTGTGCATCCTCTCCTCCGTCGATTAAAGTTAGGCAACGCATATACAATTGCGTATGTCTATGGGCAACGGTCACTTCGCTATTTCAGTGATTTCAGGTGATCGCTCGCTCGTTTGCCATCTTATGATAAAAAAAAATATGTCTTGTCGCAGCTCCGTCCCTGGTTTTCCCATTTTGATAGTTTTATTTGTAGAAATAGAAGGATATTTGCAATAAGATTTTGACTGAAAATACATGTCTTGTGCATTTGTACTTTAAGCTTTTGTATTTCTAGATCTTTGTTATCCTTAGGGTAAAGGTAAAAGGCCAGCACCTGAGAGACAGATCTACAAGACGGGTAAAGCCTGTCCAGCGCATATGATTGTCACGGAGACAATGGACCGCGTGCTTGTCACATTTTACAAGACTCACGTCGGCCATGGCAGTGAGTATGAGAGGGATTCCTCAATAGAATGTTACACTACATAACAAATACCGCAGACTACCTTTTATATCAGTTGGTATACTAGTTGTCGCCCCCGACTCAGTCTGCGCGGTATTAAAAAAAACTTAATCGGTAGCCTATGTGTTCTTTTAGTCTGTTATTTATCTATTCCAAATTATAGCGAAATCCATAAAGCCGTTTAAAAGATACCTTTAAACAAACATCCATCCAAACATTCACATTTATAATATTAGTAAAACAGTAGCGCCTCTGATCGGAACACTAAGGCGGATTATATTATTTTTGTCTATGTCCAATTTTTTTTTTCGGAATCTTGTAGTTGCGTTTCAAATTGGCACAAAAATTAGCTATAATTTACAAGGAGTCACCCAGTTTAGTAATGTTATACATTGTTTGGTCAGCTTGCCCATATTACGAGCCGCGTGAACCAAAGCGCTCCAAATGCGAGGAGACCGAGGGTTGCCCTCAACTTGTGTGTGACGCGTGTGGCGCGGGCTTTTCAGCCACGGACAAGTTTAAAACACACGTCGCCTCGCACGGTCTCAAGTTGTTCCCATGCGAGCACTGTGATGACGTAAGTACACCATAGACAAACTCTTTTTTTTAACAATAGGACTGTCCAGAGAAAAGAGAGGACCTTGCTTTTTTGTCTTTGGATTTAAATATATTCATTTGAAAGTATTTGTTTTTAGTAAAGCTGTTTGCTTCTAGTTATTCCAGAACATTGACGCTTGGACCCGACACGTGAGAATAGAACATGATTCAAATTTATTGTGAATTTAATGCCAGAACTGATAGATATCAAAAATTATTTTTTATAATAAGTATAAAAACGTAGAAATAAGTTTGTTTTTTTTGTTATTGAAGTGGCAAAGTTAGGTTTTTTTTTTCAATGTTAAAATAAAATAAATAAATATTCAATCTGTTTTTATTTGATTAATTTTACAAGTTCTTCTATTTATAATTATTACTTAAGGGTTGTAAACAGGCATGTGGTTTTTAAAACGCTGTACGCTGAGTTTATTAAAGGATAAGTCAAGGAATAATTTGATAACAAATCAATAAAATGTAAAGATTAGATTAGTGTTCTAAAACTAACCTCTAAAATCCATCAGACAGTGTTCTAATTTGATTTTCGCCATTTTTAAGTGAATTAGAAGTCCTTGTGGGTTAGAGGTTAGTTTGTTATACGGTTTTTTAACGTACAGGTGTCCTGCAAGTTGGGCAAGTGCCGTTCATTGCGAGCCACTGAGCAATACATTTCCTGTGGAAGGAGTGTCTGCAAGGTAGAACTGCAACGTCCATATCGTCTAAACAGATTGAACATTTCTCGCACGTCACCACTTTGCTGCGGCTAAAACAAAGAAAAATGTTAAAAATAGTTAATATTCAATCGTCTGTAGACTCAGGCAATTATATATATACAGACTATGTATACCGTAGTGTTTTGTGTAATTTGATTTTCGCCATTTTGGCGCTGATGGTAACGGTTTGTAGTTGAGGATTCGAAGTAACCTATCCATATATCAGTGGCTACTAGTCATGAAATCAATACAAGAAAAAATATTAATATCCCGAGTCTGACCAAATTTTTTGCATAAAACATATCGTCATCCCTGTCATTATCTTTGTGAAAACAGTGATAACAATATGTTTTAAACGGTTATTTTGGTCTCTGAAAACCCAAGGTAAAATTTAACACGAAACAACTCTACTGTATTTATCAATAATAATTACACTCAATCTCGAATTAATGTTCATTGTATATAACAAAAATGTATTCACTCTTTTTAAAGACAACTTTATTCGAAAAATTAATACCTCTTTCTATCGATTCCTATTCGTTCAGAATAATCGATCAAAAACTTTGTCTATGAATTTCTATCGAAATGTCAAAATCAAAAAGCAAAATCAATTGAACAAAACAAAACTATTGAATTTTTTCCATAGATAAGATACTTAAAACTTTAATAATTGCATAATACAGTGCAATATTACATTTATCCATCTAAACATTCGCATTTATAATATTAGTTTATGTATAATATTATATTGTTTTTTATAAATGTACTGTGAATTTTATATATTGATACACGATTTAAAATTATCGCTTACAATTTCCTGATATAAATACTTAGCTGATTTTACTTTCACTGGCGTTATCAAATTATTACGATAAAATAACCTTCAATATAAAAATATAATTAACTATAAACCGCCAATTTATTATCTTTCTTATGAAATTTGAAATACTTACTAATTTTGCGATTGCGAAGGCTGCTGTCTTGTGTTACTGGATATATTACATTGTGGAGTTTCGGCAGAATTTTTACCAACAATATAACCAATTGCCGACGCAGCAGCACCAATTACAACGCCCGCAGCAACCATCCAGCCAACACCGGAATCATTATCTTCCTCGTTACTTTCTTTTCTGTTACTCATTGTTAATATTAAATAATAAAACTGGATAATATATTAAGCACAAAGGAAACTTTATTCCGACGCACGTCAGTTCTGTAGCTGACTAACTAACCCTATCTATAAACAATAAATGTGACCATGTTTAAATTAATGTTTACCCAAAACTTTTTCTAATTCGCATTTAAAATGGAATTGATGACATTTTTTTTAAATATCACAGATTATGTTTTGGATTCTACAGTGATTTAAAAATAGAATAAAAAAAATAAAAAGGTTGTCTGTCATAAATGTACTTAATTTTTTAAACTTTTTCTATACAAATCGTATTAAAAATCGATGTTTTGGTTATTTCACAAGTGATTAAGTTTAAAATTATTCCATTGTTTTATAATAAAAAGTTACCTTGTTAATCTCAATTTGGTGTGTTAGTAACTCATATATTTACTTAAATATACTTTATTTATTATTGGTAAACAGTATCTCGCTTTAAAGTAGTTTCAAAGATCAAATTTCGTAAAATTTGGTGGCAGAATTTACTTAATCTATTAATCACTAAGAGCAACAATTTGTTCCATCTCAACGATAAAAAAACACAGACTAACAAAATTTAAATTGCGATTATTTTACCCATATTTTGGTATTATTTTTTAACTGGTAACATAGTATAAATACCAGTTCTTTCCCGCGCATTGTGAAGGGCTTTTGTACACTAGTGTTGGTAATTCGGTTATTTCCGGTAAATAATTTTATTTTTTAATTAAATTATTAATTTTATCTATTTCAATGTTTCGTTGGTTCAAGGTCATCTGCGCACAACGCACTCCCACGCTACACTTTGTTCTACGCAGCGACTCGTGCGATGTTTCGAACTGTCATTTAAAACATAACATGTTGCAATCTATCGCTTCGCTGTTTCGGCGAATTAAGATGGCCGCTCGCTGAATTGTCATACGTAAAGGAAAAACTTAATACAGATTTTTAAAGAAATTGTGCGTTTGACAAGTAGAGAAGAAATAGCATAAAGCTGTTTTTTTTTATAACAGAAGGGGGCAAACGAGCAGCGGGAACACCGAGGTGTTCAACGACGCCCATGGACATCAGCAATACTAAAGGCCTTTGAGGTGGTGATAAGCTCGCTTCTTGAAGGACCCTAAGTCGTAGCGGTTTGAAAATACCGCCGAGGACAGACCATTCTACAAAGCTGCTGTGCGAGGCAGGAAGTTTCGCGCAAACCGCACGATTGTGGATTGCCTGCCATCGAGATCTCGACCAATGGGTGATCGCTAATTTATATAAAAATGTCAATAAAGCAAACTTTGGTATTTCAAATAAATAAAAGATAAATGATTCTAAAAATGTATTTCAACAAAATTATATTTTATTTAATTTATTACAAAAATATATCACTATTAGCTATTATTATCCACAAATATCTTAGTTCAAATTTTATAATCACAATGTTTAAATCCAGTCTAAAATATACATTTAACATTTTAACAATTAACAAAATATTTTAACAAGATTTCGCTCCTTTTTTTCACCAAATTTAATTCACGTAAAAAATCTCAGATCATATTAAACATCTAATTTACCATTATTTATCGATTTTATAAAATGGAGATTTATAACACTATTGCTAAAAAAACTTAATTAAATGACATTAACTTTTTTTTTCACATGGAGTAAAAGGTTTCAATGACTTTAGTCCAAGTGTTTTTTTTTTTAAATTTATGCTTTTTCTATACTTTATTATGAATGTTTTTAATTTTATTATTCACTAGTTTTATTACATGAAGCCACTAAACTGTAAAAATAACTAGAAACGATCGAAAAGTCAGCCAAATGATTTCTTTTTGTTTATTTTTTTAATACAAATAAATTTGAAATCATAGCTTAAAAATTTTTATTTACTTTAAAGCTAATTTATTCATTTAATTTATATTTTAATATTTACAATAAAAATACAGGAAATTTGTTAAAAACCAATTTATAATTTTTTTTTAATAAAATCTATCTTACAATCAACCAAATTATATACATATTTGTTTATATTATCAAAATTATATAATTTCCAGCAGCAAACAAGCATTAGTTAACAATTGGTATATACCTGAAAAAGAATGACTAGACTATTTAAAAAAAAGAAAAGAAAAAAAAACAATTAACCTAAAAAGTAACAGAATCAGCCAACTAATCTATGTCAAAGAGTAAACAGCCTTAAGACATGTCAGTTTAGACAAAATACAGAAAAAAAAAGAAAAATTGATATCACAGATTAAATAATTTGTCATATATATGAAGAATTTCAGATATACATCAATATATGCTTAAGAACAATACAAGTGGGTCTTCAAATCCTGAACCAGCAGAATTGAACGCATTGCTCCTGCTGCAAAGTCATGGACGCTGCAATAGTAAAAACAAAACTGATTCAACATAGAACTTTATAGATTTAGCAAGCAAATATTAGTGAATTAGAAAATATCTTATAATCTTACAATATTACTAGCTGTCGCCCGCGACTCCGTCCGCGCATTAAAAATAGATGTTGGCCGATTCTCAGACATACTCAATATGCTCACAAAATTTCATGAGAATCGGTCAAGCTGTTTCGGAGGAGTATGGGAACGAAAATTGTGATACGAGAATTTTATATATAAGATAAATATGAATGTTTAGATGTTTGTTAGAAGGTATCTTCAGAATAAGCTGAATGGATGTAGAACATAGTCTAGAAGACTACACAGGCTATTAGGTTATTTTTAATACCGCGCGGACATAGTCGCGGGCGACAGCTAAAATATAAAAATAATCAACCTATTATCCTATTCGGTACGCTTTCTGCAGTTAGGGCAAGTCTGCTGCTCCTGGAGCCAGGGTAGGATGCAGGCCTGATGGAAGTTATGCGAACAGGGGAGAGTCATCACCTCTTGACTGCGTTGAATCACCTCGAAGCATATCGAACATTCTTCAGTCACCCAGTTACGTTCGCGACTAGAACATAAAAACCACTATTTTTTAGGGGAATAAAACCAAGAAAATCTTGAATAACTGTCACCTATGACACTTGGGGGAATCATTTGTATAAACACCACACACGTCAAAATCGGTTCATTAGTTTACGCTACAGGATGTTACAAAGTTGTCAAAAATAAAACATATATGAAAAACATTTTTTTTTATATTGAATAAGCTAACACGATCACGACCTGATGAAAGTGATGATGTGGTCGAAAGATGGTACGAGGTAGCTTAACCCTTAATTCGACGAAATTTTTTGTAGCAAAAACTTACGTAATTTTCTCTAAACTAGTTCAGTAGAATAGTTTTTTAACAGTGGTAGAACCCGCTTTAACATCTTCGCACGAATTGTCCCGACTCACCCGGTGATATACCACGACCACACAGAAGACATGCCTCAAGTAGAAGCAATTCCGCGTTTCGTCTGATGAGTGTGCGTCAGGGAGGCCTAATTTAGTCCTCTTTCCCTTCCCATGCTTTTCTTTATAAAGAAAAGGATGGGAAGTGGAAGTGGACTTTCTAATTGAGAGGATGCATGGAAAGGGAAGATATTTTCTTTCTGTGCATCCTCTCATCCGTCGATTTAAGGTAGGCAACGTATATGCAATTGCGTATGTCTATGGGCAACGATCGCTTCGCTATTTCAGCGATCTCAGGTGGCCGCTCGCTCGTTTGCCACCTTATGATATAAAAAAAAAGATTTTTTTTAATTTTTTGTTCTTCACATTGGACATCATCGAATTAAGGGTTAAATGCGAAGTGAATAGTCACTCTACTTTTGACTCCCACATCATGCTTGGACGTAGTGCATCCAATAAACACATTCATACAATTGTTAGTCTTATTTAATAATTATTAATATAACTGTTAAATAGAGAATTAATCTATCTGATAGATAAGTTCAGCAAGGCTTACAAAAAATATTAAGAGAAACTTTTTATTACAAACTAGGTGTCACACGCGATTCCGTCCGCGTGGACATATAAAAAAAATAGTGTAGCCCACCCATCCATCCATCCAAATCACATCCATCTAAACATTCGAATTTATAATATTAGTAAGTTAAATAAAAAGCAGCTCTTCAAGGCATAAAATCGAAAAAAAAAATTAAAAATATGAATAAATAGTATCCTATGTCCGTCTTCTGGCTCTAAGCTACCTCAGCAATTTTCAACCATATCGGTAAAGCCGTTGTTGAGTTACACTAGTAACTAACACGACTTTACGAGCCAGGAGAAGGACATAGGATACTATTTATTCATTTTTTTTCGAATTAATGCCTTGAAGAGCTGCTTTTTATTTATCTTACTAATATTATAAATGCGAATGTTTAGATGAATGTGATGTGGATGGATGGATGGGTGTTTGAAGATATCTCTAGAACGACTGAACGGATCTCGATTAAATTTGGCATATGTATAGAACATAGTCTGAAAGAACACATAGGCTATACTAATTAAGTTTTTTTATATACGCGGACGGAGTCGCGGGCGACAGCTAGTATTAAATAAATCTGAGCAGGCAATTAGAGTTAGTTATTAAAAAGCATCAATGCTTACAAAGCTTGTTCTCTAAGGATTTCCATTTGCTGTTCTTCCGTCCTGAAATATAATCATTTATAAAATAAACTAAATAACAATTATCTTGTGTTTAATACAATAACATTGTTAACCTTTTCACAGCGATTCCAGTACAAAACAAGAAAGGCTTCATAGGCCATTGTCTAGACTACAATAAATATACAATAATTAATATATTTTGGTTATTTTAACACCTTGAGCGCCATGTGTATTTTTTTCTCATAGTGTTTAGAAAGCTGTGTATTCAAAAGTATACACATTTTTGTATTAGAGCACATACCAACAAAAAAAAATTGTGTTTTATAATACGGTCACTTAGGGTTTGGCGCTGAGGGTGTTAACTATTACAGTCATGGATTCGAAACCTTCTATTCAATTGTTTTTATTATTTTTGAGTAATTTTTTTAACCTTTACTAGAAAACAGTTTTCAATTCTGTCCAACCCATAACCACATAAAAGGTAATACGCCAATTCACACAATTAAGTTAACTATGGTAAATTTTTTTTTAATTAAATTAGCTTAACTTAAAAAATTATAAAAAAATCTTTTAATACACATATAAATACTAAATAAGTAATATTTTCTTCATGCCATAATGTTTACTAATATTATAAAGCGGAAGAGTTTGTTTAAAAGTGCTAATCTCAGGAACTACTGGTCAGATTTGAAAAATTACTATTTGTTGGATAGTCCATTTATAGAGGAAGGCTTTAGGCTATATTATGCTGCGAAAACTATTAAACTATTAAACTATGGTTCAAGATAAATTGTCAGCTCACAGCTCATCACATCTTACTAGTATTATAAATGCAAATGTTAAGATGGATGGAGGGAAGTTTGTTCAAAAGGTATCTCGGGAACGGCTGAACGGATCTTAACAAAATTTGGCACAGATGTAGAATGTAGTCTGAAAGAACACATAGGCCCAATACTGCGTCTACGCGAAAAAAAACTTGATAAGCAGCACCCATCCATTCATCTATCCGTCCATAAATTCGCATTTATTATATTAGTAAGATTTTGGAATCAGAAACCCATGGTAAGTCTTCAAACAATTTATTTTTTCTTATTTATACTTTACTAATGTTATACATATGAATTTAAATGTATATAGTAGATTTTATACCAAACCATAAACCATAGAAATATTATAATTTACACCAAAACATGTAAATTCCATAGTATATTTAATAAAACACTTATTCAAACATAAATATACAGGTTGTCCGAGAATGATGTATACAACAGAGTACCACAGATTCTTTAGTCGAAAATATGACGATTTACAACTTAACTCTATCCAAATTAAATTCGTTTAAACACTAAAGCGCTTTAACACTTTCGATGGTGTCCAGTGTGACAAACAACTAATTAAAGAAAATCTACTGAACTAGTTTAGAGAAAATTACGTATGGCTTTACTAAAAAAAAAAACAGTTTTTTTTCTACAAAAAATTTCGTCGAATTAAGGGTTAATCCTTTACTCCGTTATACCCATCATTCCCGAACATCCTGTATTACATTAACTACCCTTATTACACTTTATCTCACAATTTTCTCTAAATAGCCATTTGATGTGATTCTACTTAAACTTTAACTTGAACGAAGCATATACTTTTTAGAGACAACACTATTAACAAAATCTTAATAATTAAATTTCTAGAATAACCCCACATATAACCTAAATCGTGTAGTTGAAGAAAACAACCACCAATAAAATATAAAACTCAATATTCTAAAATATTAGTCTACTTCATATTAGTCTTATTCACACATACCTAAAAAACATGTGCCAAAAACCTCTGTTAACTATAATATACGTAAAAATTTCAAAATACCCACACCAATGTATTTTACCCCGTCTAAATTATAATTCAACTTACAACTCACGATTTCCACGTCTAGGACTTATCATGGATGATATACTATTGGTTATTCGTAGTAACATTGGTGTTGAAGTAAACGAGTACTCATTAATATGCATACTAGAGTCTGTCATGTCCCATTCGGATAAATTAGATGAATAATCCCCTGATTCACTATCACTCTCACTTATATCAGATTCTAAGCTATCTACGGACATTGTATCAGAGTTTGATGTGATCGAATTTGGATCAATAGAATCTGTATTCATGCTGGTGTCGGTTGTCTCATCTTCGGATATTGTTGAATAAGAATCAGAGTCAATGTCCATGTTTGATTGACAATCACATCCAGTCCTGCTGTTGTATTGAAAAAGTTCAACTAAATTATGTGAATGATAATAAAGTACTGTAGAAAATATCCCAATAGACACAAAAAACCTCTATAAGCAAGAAAAATATCACAATACCTTTGACTCTATTATCCAGGTTTTACGAAATACCTTTTATTTACATTAATAGAAATTTATAAAGTAGCACTATGAATAATTTCTCTTTAAAATATTTAATATAGATTATCTAAAATTTGGTAAATTTAACATTTATAAGACCATTAACTTTACAATGAACAATTACACTAGAAAATAAAAAAATTTGTGGGTAGATAGAAATAATATTACAATGTTAAACATTATATTAACAGTTTAATAAATACTATAAGATTTTTCATTGAACATGGAAGAATAAATTCACCATATAATATTTGATATTGAATCTCCAAATAATATTAGCGGAAACACGTTAAGATTTAAAAATAAATTTGATATGCGTGCATAACAGTAGAACGAATTTTTGCAAATAAAGAATACAATTGAAAGTTGTTATGCGAAATATTACGTAGTATTCATAAACCTGTATTGAAGGACGTTTTGTAACTGCGTATAGAGGCGATAGTTTCTATGACATTTTGTTACATACACTTACAAAGATTGAAATTGAATTAAAATAGGACTGCTCGTAGTGATATATGGAAGAATACTATGACACTACGTAGGGAAAATAATGATACTTACAACGTAACGTTTTGCCAAGCGGAAGCAACTGAAGCTTCCCCATCAGGATTCTCCTGCCTCTTGCTGAAGAAGTAGTACAGAGCAGCCCCAACTCCGACGCCAATCGCCGCCGCCGCAAGACCAAGTCCTCGGCTAGGACAATTACTCTTTTGTCTGTCTTCTTCACGAAAACTCATTTTTAAATAAATATTTTTCACAGACAAATACCTTCACAATCACGAATTATTTTTGTATGCGGAAATTGACAGTTTTCAAAATAATTAATAGTGACGTTCCTCGATAAAAATATGCAGTTTTTCATCAAGTCAACAACTAATCGTAATCGTTCGATTTCGATTCGTTGGTGTATAATCCAGAGACAATCTGGTTTTATACAATTTTAAAATTTTAAATAAAATTTATTCAATATCGAGGTCAGTATATCAATATCTTTATTATCTTATCTTAAAACGCATCTAAGTAGAATGTAATTGAAATATATTAACAATTTGATATTATTCACAAAATTATCGATTTGTGACAAAGAGTATATGATTTGTGATGTGGACATCCACAGAATAAAAACATCCAAAACAGGGTTGCAACCGAAAAAAATGTGACAGAATCGGTAATTTATGAAGGTTATTTGTTTTAATTTAGTGTAATAAAATAAATTGATATTAAAATTTCAGGAATCTTCCAGCCGCCTAAAAGACATAAATCCTCACATGGCTTATTTTATTATAAAATTCTGTCTCTTTGTTCCCGCAATGACCTTCTCTCTCGTTTAGATGACACGGTAAGAATAGCGTTAAACAGCTCATTTAATTGTCCTCTAAACGATAGATGCTGGGCCCAAGCAACCTTACCGATTCGCCATGGTGGTCTTGGAATACGAAAAATTTCAAGTGTAGCACTGCCAGCCTTCTTGTCCTCGGTTCATAGCTCGGTTAACCTCGTTGGTAGCTTACTAGGCCCGTCGCTCTGCGGCGTAGAGGTTGCCTGTTTGGCCGAGGCCAGGGATACCTGGCTTAGTGCAACTGGTCCAGACCTACCCCTGAACCTGGCTTCGCAGCGTCAGTGGGACGAGCCTCTCTGTTTGAAGATACGAAATCATCTGGTAGAGTCTTCAGAAAGCGAAGCGGAGCGGTCTCGTCTCTTGAGCCAGAGTCAGGATACTGGTTAAATGCTATTCCATCGTTTAGCGTAGGTACGCTTTTGGAGAGGACTACTTTTAATTTGGCGGTGAGCTTACGTCTAGGGGCCCGGACGAACGAACCCCATCGCTGTCGGTGTGGGGTAGACGTCGATCCTCTTGGTCATCACGGTTTAGCATGTCGTCGCAGTGCAGGACGCATTCCGCGCCATGCCGCCTTAAATGACGTCATCCGTCGAGCCCTTGCCTCTTCCGGCGTGCCGGCAGTGCTTGAACCCAATGGCATCGTCCGAGATGATGGTAAGAGGCCCGACGGTATGACGCTCATTCCGTGGAAAAACGGGCGGTCACTCCTGTGGGATGCCACATGCGTGGACACTGTTGCTCCATCCCACGTGAGAGCGACCGCTCGTAAAGCCGGCGCAGCTGCGGCGACAGCCGAAATCAATAAAAGACGTAAATATGCGGCGTTGGCAGATCCGTATATATTTGCGCCTTTTGCCGTGGAGACCTTGGGGCCTTGGGGTGCGGAAGCCCGTCGCCTGTTTAAGGAGATTTCCGCACGCCTCATCGACGCCTCAGGGGATCCAAGGGCTGGCGCGCATTTCGGGCAAAGATTGAGCCTGGCCATCCAACGGGGAAATGCCGCCAGCCTCTTGGGAACCCTACCGTGCGACCACAGCGATTTGTGATCGATTTTTTATATTATTTAGTTTGTTTTAGTTTTAGTTTATAGTATTATTTTGGTAGATTAATTTTAATTTAATTAGTGACTTAATAATTAATATAGAGTTAAGTAATTCAATAATAAGTTTTTTACGTGTAATATAGCAAATTTTGTGCGAATTTTCATATCAATAGTTATTAATTACAATAAGGAATATTAGTTGAAAACTAAATTATATTACGGAATAGTAGTTCGAAATTAATTAAAGGGAAGAATTTTTTCAAAAAATGGTAACCCTAATTATTTCCAAGGTTAGCCAAAGTTTGATCCATATTACCTAGCCTTGGTATTGTGTTTATATAGATATATAAAATTTAACAGCGCAGTAATTCATAAAACTGTTTATGTAAGTAATATTACTAATATTATAAATACGAATGTTTGGATAGCTGGATATATGTTAGAAGGTATCACCAGAACGGCTGAACGGATCTCGCTGAAATTTGGCACAGATGTAGAACATAGTATACTTATTAAATATCGCGCAACGGACACGCGGGCGACAGCTACTTTTAATAACTAAATTTTTATGTCTTTTTTGCTCGTATCAAGAAAATAATGTTTAAAAACGTATGAATTTTAATCAGATTGTAACTTGTAGTCTAACTACGGAACGTATTTTGACTAGCGTGTTATAATCAAATGATTTTTTTTCTGTTAGAAAATGGAGATGCTGATAAAATCTGTAATAATAGTTGGTGCAGCGTGCATAGCTGCGACGTTCGCTGTAATGGAGTATTGGGAGTGGAGAAACGTGCCGGAAGCATACGCCACGCACGGACAAAGACGACGTAGAGATTAACAATGAAATTATACGATAATTTCTGCTACAGAGTTGTATTTTATGGATCTAACCGTGAGTTTCTGAGACCAAAACCACTGTATAAAACATATCATCCATGACAAAATAAGGAGTTTTCCTTATTTTGTCATGATTATTAAACGAGAATTTTGGCCTCAGGAACCCACAGTAAGACATGCAACTATTCGTCGCAGTTTTTTACAGAATTAATTATCTTTGTGTAATTCAAAATGAAGATTTGTAAACGTCATTATAAAAGCTATGGTATTATAACTATTGTAATAGTTGAATACAGTTCCCGGGATTTGTATGTAAATTGAATCTTTCCTTTCAGATTCAATTTCAACATAAAACGAATAAAGAATAAAATTATTTAAAATTGCATTATTATATTAGTATTAAGTTCCTTTTTCCCTTTTATATTTATTACAAAGTAGTTTAAGACATTAGTTAGAATCCTTTGTCGCGAATGGCGCTCTTTCATTTCAAGGTCAAGTGTCAGAATGATTAGTGAGGGGACATAGACGTCATTTTAAAAAGACTAGTGTTGCGATACACCGGCACTGTATCGGTTCTTCCTAATAGTTTTTTTTTTATTGTTAAAGGCCTTTTAAATGAAACAAAGCTAATGTCAAATATTTAATATTATACTCTGTCTTATAGAGTTTATGTACACTCTTTTATTTTCACCGTTAGCAACAACCTCCGCGTAGACACATCTAAAAAAAAACTAAATGAAAATACATCTTACAAACTAGAGAAAAAAAATGCATATTTTTTTAATTCAATTAAATGGCAAACATTTTTTAAAAAAAATAACATTTTTCACCTTCCACAAATTTTCAGCACACAGGCTCTTTTAAATATCCAAAAAAAGACATTAAAAAAAAAAACAGTTGATATTTAAAAAAAACCTATTGTTCGTAATATTTTTACTCTTCACTAATTTTTAAATCAAGTGACATTTTCGGTTATGACATTATTTTCGTTAAATTAGTCACAAATGTGAGAGAATTTTGACACAAAATTAAATAACAGTAAGATTTTACTCAAAAAGAGCCGTCACCAAAGATCTATGTTTTTGCATCGATAGTGACTGAGTCAAATTTGATCTTCAACTCGAAAAAAAAATTAAACAAAACAAGAGAAAAATTCATTCATTCCTTTTTTGTACTTCAATATTTATTTTTAATAATACTTTAAGAAAAAAGCAACTAATATTCTTCAATATTAAATCTCAATAAAGTTTTAAAACATCAAACACCTTCACACAATTGAGGTTATCTTCCATCTCTTTTCCTCAAAGAGTTTCACATTAGTAAGAAAGAGATACATATAACTACGGGATAAAAACTTATAAAGAGGTTGCGATAGTGCTAAAGCGTACCTAAAATAGTACTTATAGTTTAAACCGTCACTAAATTTGTAAACTACACTTAAAATTTCTATTATCGTGAGTATAAACTAGAGCAATTAATTGTACCAGAATAACGAGCCACTCCATATTTTCTACTTTTTCCCTTTTACGAACCAAAACATGCTTTGGAAAGTGTTTTTTTTTACTGTTGTTGAGTGCATAATAAACATTCTGCCAAATACGTGGCATAATGACCAGAACCTTTGCCTTTTTCGTTATAAAAAAAATAAATGTCAGTCAACAATGGCGCGGGAAATGAAGAACGAATTAATAATGGCATAATGACCAGAACCTTTGCCTTTTTCGTTATAAAAAAAATAAATGTCAATCAACAATGGCGCGGGAAATGAAGAACGAATTAATAATGGCATAATGACCAGAACCTTTGCCTTTTTATTTGAAAAAAAAAATATAACTAGAGAATGGCGCGGAAAATCAAGAAAGAAATGTCGCGAATAATGTTCAATTAAATAATAGTGGCATAATGGACAGAACCTTTGCCTTTCTATTAAAAAAAAATGTGAAAATACAAAATGGCTCGGAAAGTGAAGAACGAAATGTCACGAATAGTACTCAATGGCATAATGGCCAGAACCTTTGCCTTTCTATTAAAAAAAAAAAGTGAAAATAGAAAATGGCTCGGAAAGTGAAGAACGAAATGTCACGAATAGTACTCAATGGCATAATGGCCAGAACCTTTGCCTTTCTATTAAAAAAAAAAGTGAAAATAGAAAATGGCTCGGAAAGTGAAGAACGAAATGTCACGAATAGTACTCAATGGCATAATGGCCAGAACCTTTGCCTTTCTATTAAAAAAAAAAGTGAAAATAGAAAATGTCTCGGAAAGTGAAGAACGAAATGTCACGAATAGTACTCAATGGCATAATGGCCAGAACCTTTGCCTTTCTATTAAAAAAAAAAAAGTAAAAATACAAAAT